AGCTTGGTGTCACCTGCAAACCTGCCGAGAGGGAGTTCGATCCCCTTGTCCCGATCATTGACAGAGAGGTTATAACTGGCCCCAGTGCTGAGCCCTGGGTGGTGCAGGAAGGAGACTGCTTGGCAGTAAGTCACACAGCTGTTGTTGACACCATTCACCTCAAGAATATGGTCCCCAGGTGCTATTCGCCTGTTTGCAGCAATGACAGAGTCCAGGAAGACTTCCTGAACACCAGCATTCCCTAGTGGGAATACCCTTACCCCTACCTATCCTCAACTCTTCTTCCTGGTCTTCTGGGTGCATTTCAACTGTGCTCCTGTCAGCCATAAGACTAACTCTCCAGGGATGACTTCCTCAGTCTCCTCAAAAGCTGGATTAACCAGTCCAGGCTCTGCAGTCTGGAGCAATACCACAACAATACTTGTTGCAGACCTTGCTGCCACAAGTGACAATCCTCCACTTGGTACCTCTAGATCCTTGGGTGTGTCCATCTCCAACTTGGTAGCGGGATGTTCCTACCCTTTGGAAATAGGATTCTTTTTCTGCTGTAGTTCAGATTTGTATTTCTTGAAATCAGGACACCTCTTCTGCAGATGAGCTTCTAGTTCACACCACTGCATTGTCTGCTGAAGGACAGAAGACAATCAGCTTACCCAAAAGGCTGGACCTGTGGCACTGATGGAAAGACAGATTTTCTGATCTACAGGACAAAAGTTATACTCCTGCGTGAAGTTTTCAAGGCATTTGAAACAGTACGTATGTCCACAGGGGATGTCCATCGGTTGGAGCAAAGCCTAAAGGCAGATACGGCAGATGAGTTCATCACCTACTTCATCCTGGAAGTTGTAGAGACGATTGTCCAGGAAGAGGTGGAACTGTCCGCATTCACAGACAAGTTCACTAACTTGGGATGCATGTTCTTCAGCTACGGGATCAGCCATGATAGCACCAGGCACTCCGTCCACCAGCAAGGAAACTTGTCACGTAGCAGGTGTGTGACAGAGATCCTCTGTAGGCTCCCGTGGCGGGAAGGTGGAAGGGGGGAGGCAAGGGAAAGCCCACCGCCAATTCGGCCTTTGATGGTGGCAATACATGGCTCCTCCACCAAGTCTCCTGGTGGGGAAGAAAGACGAAACCCACCTGAGAGGAGGCAGCACAGCCACCCATATGTCTCACAGCTGCCCAGGTGTCTCCATCCCTCCTGCCCAGCGCAGCACGGCTCAGCCCTGTTTGCTCGGGCTGTGTGCCCTGGAGTGAGCTATTCAGACACTGGTGAAAAGGCAACAGCTGTCCTGGCCTGAAAGATGCTGCCGGTACCATAACCCACTCCAGCGTGACGGCAGAAACTACAGCATGCAGGGAAGGGCAGGTGGGTTATGCAGGTCTAGGAGGGGAGCAGCGGGGTTCAGCTCCCACTGCTTTGCTGAGCAAGGCCACGCATGGCTACTGGATGTCTCTGTGCCCTGCAGTCCCTGCTGACAGCAGGGAAACCTTTGTCATGAAACTGGAGCTTTGCAAAGTAATTTAAAAAATGGCGGATTTTTCTTTCTGTCTTTTCTTAGCTTTCCTTTTTTGAGAGACTGTAGAAACTTAAAAACATGACTGAATTTTTGCATGCCTTTATTTATTGAGCTATTTATGATGGGCACAGATTTCCCTAAGCCAAAAAGCCCCCTCCCTCCTCCTTCCCCAGCCTTAGTAATCAGCTTCCTTGTGCTCCAGCCCACGCTAGGCTATTTTCCTCTGTCAAATCCTCCATCATTGGTTAAATTACCTAGGTGTGTGTTGGCTTTATATTTTTTTGGTGAAATCTTATAATCTTTCAAGTCTACTTTGCCCAAGTCCCTGTCATCCTCTTAGGTCTGTTGTACACCCTGCTTCTCTCCTGGCTGATGCTGTAACAGGTTTAATTTCAACAAGTTGCTGCTATCAGGGCTGGAGGCTGTACTTTGGTGCCCACGATGATGATCTGTGTCCATCAAGGCTTCCAAGTGCTTCAAAGCTACAGTGAATTGCAGATGTTGTTTGGAGTCCTTTGCACATGGATGTTAATTTTTCCCTTCTGCCATCCCTTTCTCAGATGCTTGCCTTCCACATTTTGCAGCCTATGGTGCCTGTACACCTTCTGTGCCACCGCACTGCTGATGAACCTGTTCGGCACGGGCCCTCCCATGCACACGCTGGCCGCTGCCTTCTAACATGGGAAGACATGCTTCACTCTGAGTCTGTCACGTGAGCCAGTTTTAATCTAGGATGCTCTTTCCTTCTGGCTCCCCACAGAGCTCACAGCATCCTGTTTAATCCAGCTCCCTGCTGGTGTTCGGTTGAGTCATAGGAGGTTTTTCCATTGCTACATCTAACAGTGCTTTGCTATCAGGAGCAGAACATCAACCCGCTTGCCTGGAGTCGGCACTGTCACCCAGTAGCTCTCCTTGTCTGGAAGTTGTTTTGATTCTTTTCTTAGACTTCTCCCTCTCTGTGTCTTTCTCTCTAAAACATTAATTTCCTTTAATTAGAGCCTCCTTAACAATTCTTTTTTTCCTCTCTCCTCCGTTAATTTCCTTTAATTAGAACCTCCTTAATAATTCTTTTGCTAAATCAATTTCCTCAGTTAGAACCACCCGCCATAATTTCTTTCCATCCTTTTTCAAAAGCTGCTGGAGTAGCTAAGCAAATTATGCTTCTGGGTAACCTTTATCTCTTACCTGTTTTTTTAAAAGAACTGTAACAGGTTAGACAGTCACAATTTCCCCTTCCACAGCTACGCTGGTCTGACCCCATTAGGTTATACTTAGCCGAGTGCTGTACTATTGTATACTTAATTAGGCGCTCTAGCTCTGCAACCAAGGTAAGGCTGTATTTATGAATGAATTAAACATGACACTTCATTATTCAGATCAGATTTAACAGCGTCAAAATCCATCTTTAAACCAGATCAAATTGCTCTCTAAGAATATGTAAAATCTCCTGCCCTTGTTAGCTGTCCTGTGAGCTGGCTGTTCCTAACTTTTTCTCTGCAACCATGCCACCTTTCTTCTCGTGACAAGCCTTTCAAGTACGAATCACTTCTAAAACATGCTGGTTTTAACAAGAGGGTTTTTTGTGTGTAATTTACACAGTACGTAACTGTTAGTGGCATGCTGCTTTTCACAACCATGCTGTGGGCCACATCAGCAGCTGGTGCAAATGGGGAGACATCTGATTTACATATCGTGGACCTTGATCCTGAGTTTCCTCTTCTATGCTATGCAGTTTCTTCCCAGCTGAGGTTGCATTATGCATTTCTCTAGCCCTTTACGATGGATCATAAGGAACCATCTCACCTTGTCTGACCTTCCTGAAAAACACCGAGGACGACCCGCTCAGTTTCCTGATTTTTGGAAGCAAAGGGCCAAGTGTTGTTGGCTACCTCACAGTCGGCTCATGAGACTACTTATGGGCTTTGTAGCATAAGGACCCTCTCTCTCTTTTGGCCATGCTCAATGTAAGCTGTGTAGCCTGCTCCAAGCCCTGAACACAAAGCAGGATGTCACCGTGGGCCCTGCAGAGTCTGCTCCACTAAGGCAGATGGGCCCCTCAAACTCCTGAAGTGCTTTTTACCACCATCTGACGATGGTGAGTGGATGCCTTGGGTACCACTTGGCATAACAAGTGGAGTGATCCATGAGGAATGCTCCACAGATATTCTATGGGGAGCTGTTGGAGGCTTGCAGCTACTCCATCCTTGTCAGTGCCACTATCAGCTTTCTGGGCAGGTTAAAAATATTTTAGCCGAGCCCAGCTACTGTGGGAAAGCTGTGCTGCTGCCCTGTTTCACACTTCTTTCCCTCTGACCCTTCCAAGCCTCTAGCACTCCACAAAGTCTGTTCTGGTGGAAGTGGTGCAGAAGTTGTAAGATCTACTTTATTTCCTTTGCAGTCTTCATATCTATTCAGAAAATTCCATTTGCCATCACTTCCCATGGAATTTTGCAGTAGGATTTGATGGAAAAACAAAACGCATTAAGTTTTTTGGTTTTGACAAAATCCCTAATGTTTGAGATGGGAAAAGGACTTTTTTGGGCAATCTTACAAGGACTAAAATGGTGGTGGTTCTGGAGAGGGGGTTGTTTGGGAAGGGTAGATTCTCTAAAAAGATATGTTAGAAGGCTACAAAAAAGCTTTCTGGTTCTTCTCAGAAGAGATGAGAGAGCGGGAAGAGGGAATCACCAGGTTGGATCGTTCAGACCAACAGTCGACTACAACAAAGAGATTCTGTTCTCTATGCTTCTTGAGAAGCCCGTCTTGCTGGTCTCTGGTCCGTTCCAGCTGAGGACAAAGAACAGCTAGAGATAGAGATAGGCAATCCAATAGACAATGTTGAAGAGCAGGAAGGCAGTGGGGAAGAAGACGCGAGAGTAGGAGTCCAGGCGGGAGATGTGAATGCGGACCCTCCCCTCCCGCCACATTCCTGTCTGACAGTCCTCAATGCAGCAGAAGAACCTCTCGCATTCCTTTCCTTCCAGGCACGGGGAGCCAGGGTCTTCATCATCATCCTCCTCTATCTCTGGGGGCCAGTGCATGATGTTGTTGATGTTGATGGTGGTAAAGGATGGCATCACCTGTGCACCAGCAGGCGGCTGTAATGAGGAGGGGTAGGTGGATTAAAGGGAAGGAAAAGGCAAGGAAGCATGTTCTAGACACCGAAACTCATCCAGTTGGCAATAGATCACTTCATAGTGTAGCTGCAGTTCGATGGAAAGGGATGACCGATCATCCCCCATCTCTGCGCCTGGTTGTAAATCACCACCTTGGCATGATGTGGGGTCTGGCAGCTCACTGCATGGCTGAGTTTCCTCACTGGCACCCTAGGGCATACCCTTAGTCAGCAAAGGTCTATTTGCTCTGATTCCCCATCTCTGCAACTAATGGTGCAGAAACGGGACCGGTTTGGTTTCAGCTGTGCTAGCCTCTTCCCTCATTCCCCTGAGCTCAGCTGTCTCTGAAGACACAGCACACAGTCTAGATGTGTCTTCTGGTTTTCATCAGTTGCTGGAGAAAAGCTGGGGGAAGGCTCTGGGTGACTCATAAGCTCTTGGCACCTGAGAGGAGTCTCATCATCAGCATCCTGAAGAGCTCTCCCCACCTGTGCTGGGAAATGAGGCTGCCACAGAAGAGATCTGGCTTTTTTGGTTTCAGTTCTGTCCCAGTTCAGAGGCCTGTTTCAGCTGATGTGTCAGAAGTAGCTGCCATGAGCTTCAGCAGGTCTCAAGGGGATGACGACCACTCTGCATTCACTCTCCTCACACTCGGAAGCCATTCTGATGGACAGACCACAAAAGAAAGTAGGTTCCTGCATCTCTGGGACCTAAGATAACTCTGTAATCCACAGAGATCAAACCAGTACAGGTGGGATAACCTGAGTGCGCATCTTCCTGTCTTGAAGTGGACATTCACATGTGGCCATGAGTCATCCTAAACTGTACTGATAAACTCTCCAGTAATTCTGAGGAGCGCATGGGGCGTCTGGCTCTGACAGAGACCTCCTTGTTTTAGGGGAGCCTCAGCTGCTTTTTCTGGTTGTGTCTCACCTTTCAGGTGCTCAGACCCTGCACACAGAGCGGTCTGAGCACCTTATGAACACAGTATGTGTCAGGCACTAACCCACATCAGCAGTTTCCAGTGCAGGATCAGGAGGGATATTTCAAAATAGCCTGGGGTTCTAGCAGCACCCACCCTTGTGGCCCCTTTGACCTACCAGTCTGGCTTTCCTGTTGTTGTGCTCAAGTGGTTTCTTGTTTCCCACCAGGTAGTTGAGCGTAGCGTACTCCATGAGAGCTGCAAAGACGAAGATGAAGCACACAGAGACAAAGAGGTCCATGGCTGTGATATAGGAAACACGGGGAAGGTGCTTGCGGGAGATGGTACTCAGGGTGGTCATTGTTAGCACAGTCGTGATACCTAAGAGAGTAAAGAGCTGGTTTAAGTAATGAAGAGGACCACTTCGGTCTTCTACATGCATCCAGCCCCCAGAACATCCCAATTTCCCCTCTCCTGTGGAGGAGAAATTCCCCTGGTTGCCTGGTCCCATTTTTGCTCTCCTCAGCCAGATCTGATCTTGAGGTGGTTGCTCTCTGACAATGATTTGTGGAAAAAGAGCTGTTCAAAACCCAGGTGTCACACAGGCCACCAGCTCCTCACAGTCTATCCCTTTCTTGATGTAGAGGGCAAGTGGGTAGGAGACGGTAAGGAATGCCTTTTGTCTTGAATGGGGCTTGGAATTGTTTTTGCAGCAGCAGTAAAGCTTAGACCTGTTTCCAGAGATAAAGTATCAGGAGCCGACAAAGGATCAGCTGTGAGAGTTGGTATCATGATCTCACTCACTGCTTTCTAGGATGTGGAGAAGAAGCAGGAACTCCACTGCTCCTCCTTCTCCAGCATTCATCTAAATCCACCTGCCACCCTTTCCTGGAGTCACCACAATGGCTCTGGGTGGGAGCATGGAAAAAATTTTCATGCTTTCCTGCTGCATTTGCGTTAGTGAATGTCATGTGACTTCCCACAAATTTAAAATGCCAATGGAATTGGTCCGGTTTACATCTCCCTAATGTAGACTGACGGACTTGAAATGCACTGGGGATCATTTGCATTAAGTGCAACAGGGGCTGTGGAGAGAATACATTACTCTTGATGTGCTGAGGTCTCTTCTCACAGAGAGGGGCCTCTCTCCTGGGGAAAGTTGTCTTTGTTGTTTGAGACAGTCACCATAGTGGTGTCAGCCGTGCAGAACATTTTGCCTCTTGCTGATCATTCCTTTCCCAGCCACAGACTGTGGCAAACCCTCACCTCTATTGGAAATGACATCCCACTCCTCCTCCTGCTCTCTCCATTGGCACCAAGGAAACTGATTTTGATAGGGAGGTGAGATGGTCAAAATGGATGGGCTCTATAGCCCTGCCTGATGCTGATGGCCCCTTGCCTTTCCTCTCTCTCCCCACAGAGCCCTGCAGGCAGGGCCGGGAATGCTACCTCCAATTAAAGGGAAAGTCAGCAGGGCTGATGGGAAGCAGAGCTTGTTGCAAAACGCAGATACAGCCAAAGTGCATTAAAGATTCATAAAGGCCTCTCTAGCGCCTACCAGAGCAGGATTCAATCAACACAGGCTTTTTCTTGGCTCAAAGAGCCACTGCAGGTTGCTGAAAATCCAAACTATAGGCAGAGCTGTTGCCACATTCTGGACTCCCACACTGGTGACTGATAGAGAAAGGCTGTACCTACAGGGCTTCCTCATCCTGCCAGAGCTTGGGACTCTATGGATACAGCCGAGCAACTTTGCTCATTACCCTACAGCCTTCACGTCACTGGTTCTACACCGAGCCCTTGAAAAGTCACGAGGAAATGCAGAATACGTGCATGTGACAGAAGCTCTTTGGCCAGCACTGCAGTGCCACAGCTCGCCCTTTCCCTCTCCTCTTTGGTGCATGAGGATTCCACACTGACAACTTGGAAAAGACTGTGTTCACATCTCAGACCAAGATATGAGTGTGTTGTGCTATCCTGAAATAATCCAGTAGTCCAAGTCAGCACAGCTGGAGTCAGCCGAGCGTGAGGGTAGCATTACAGACAGATGTAGGAGTGGACTATCCTCTAGTAAGCTGACCAATGCCAGAAAATGGCAAAGTGCTTTAGGAGATTTTGTACTCCAACACTGTCAGTGTGCTAGCCTTGCAGGCTGACAAGCATCAGACATGCAACAACTTGTCTCTTACCCAGAGATGTCCTGGCTGGTGTAGAGTCTCTCTTGATCCAGAAGGAAACCCAGGAAAGAACAACAGTCAGGATGCAGGGAATGTAGGTCTGAATGGCAAAATAACCCATACGTCTACTTAGGTCAAAAGAAACTGTCATCACCATGTACTCCCCTAGGAAAAAGCAAGAGACACACTGGAATCATAACATGCGGCTTCTTAAAACACAAAAATCAGCCAAGTTTCAGAATTTGGAGTGTTTCTGATGAGGTTTTCTTGTTGTTTCAAGCGCTTGGCCAGCTGGTTTTGTGGCTGCCCAGATCATTAGCTCCATTGACAGCTGTGTGGCTTGCTGAGTAGCTTTGGTGACTCGCTGGCATTGTGGCTGGCTTGCTGGTTTTGTGGCTAGTGGACTCTGTGGCTACCTGCCTGGCTGGTAGTATTTGTGACTAATTTAAGAGCTGAATTTGCGGTTGCCCAACTGGCTATCTGCCTGGCTGGCTACGTGACCCCCAGGCTGCGTTTGTACTGGCCTGGCTGTGTCCAAGCACACTGAAAAGCCCACTGTCTGAGAAGTTTCAGGGAAGAAACTAGAGAGAGTGTTCATCTTCAGCTGATTGCTGCAAGGGCTTCTTTTCTATAGAAGCTATTTAGCTGTAACAGGCTACACGGCCTGGCTTGCCAGCTAACTGCCTGAGCTGTGACAAAGCAGGTGTCCTTCAGGTGCTGTCATCGAGACTGGTTCTGCCCCTGGAAAAGGCATGTTGTACATCCTAATTGCTCATCTGGCAACTTACAGCTGAGGTTCTCCCGCTTTTTCAGAGGCTCCTAGTGAACACTGGAAGAAAGCCACCCACCAACTCTAGGGTTAAGATGGAGCTTGCAAGCAATTACCCATAAAAGAGAATTAAAAACGTCAGACAGCCACTGCTGCATTCCAGACACTTTCACTGCACCACTTCTTGTCCCGGCCTGTGCTGCCTCTCCACCCCGGTTAGCGGCTGGCTGCTGCGAGGCAACAGCAGCTTTCTGCATCACCCAGGGGTCACAGAGTATGCACACACTGCAGCAAGAGGGGGTCTGAGCTCCGTCTCCTCTCTCTCCTGACTCTTCCATTAGGGAGAGCTCCGTTCACATCAGCACTGTCACCCCACAGCTCGCAGATGTCAGTGCATCTGAACTACACCTGCTTTGTCGTCCCCTCACCCTTCATCTCCATCACTTCTGCTCTCTCCAGCAAAGATCTGTCCTTTCATCCCTATGTTTCTCTAACTGTGCTGCTGTGACCTTCTCCCCCCCACCATGGAGGTGTCTGATGCCTCCTTTGCCTCCCACGGGGTCTCCGACACACTGGCGTTTCTGTGGGCTCTCTCCCCGTGCCTCACCTGCCCCAGTCCTGAGAACTTCCGAGGTGTTCCTCAGCCCCGTGAAGTCAAACTGGTAGAGCCTCCAGGTGCGCTGGTCGGAGACCTCGATGGAGTAGCGTCTCCAGCGATAGACAATCTCCTCCCGTGGGTAGCCGTCTGGGAAAAGGGACAAGGACATCAATGGAAGGGTATGTCATGTGCCTCCACCTGACTGCAAAAGCACGGGCATCTCACTCCAGCTGCTGTGTAAACATGGAGCTTTGGCCAGGTATTGCTGATGCCTTTTGTTTAGATTCCCTCAGGCATCCCCACATGCAATAGGAATAGGGACAGCATCTTCCCTCATGGGCCACTTCAAATCCTATGGATGGGAAAAGGAATGCTGGAACCGGAGCCTTTCTGAGGATGCACTGGTGAGAATGAGACTTGGGTCGGTGTAACAGGACTCCCCCAGCCCAAAATCTTTATGGATTTTAGCTCCCTGGGGCCTTCACCACTCCTTATGACTACGCTCCCTCCCCAGGCATGAGCACACCGGGAATACAAAGCTGCCATCATGGGCGGTAGCAGGGCTGTGGCTGCTCTGGCTCTCTCTGTACCTCTCGCCCTGGGAGCTGATCTATGCTTGGAAAAGGAGACTTGGCTCCTGCAGGCTGGAGCATGGCTTCTCCTGGCTCTGGCTTTCCTGACAAAGCAGCAAGCCTTCTGTGAAGCAGAGACCTCGACACCTACGAGAGTTCCTCAGAGGAGGGAAGGAGCAAGAGCTTGGCAGCTAACTAAAAGTGTTTCTAATTATCAAGCATGTATGGCTGTTAATTAGCAAAGAATGAAGAATGGTGGGAGACGAGAGGATGGTATCTCTTCGGCATGCTGCCTGCCTCTGAGCACCTCAGAGCCACGTGAGCTGCATCTCTTCGGTGTCAGGGGAAGCGGGAGAGGCGAACCCAAGCTGACTAAATCCAATTTGCAACCAACGCATGAGGAGAAGAGTCTCCGGGTGCAGAAAGGCTCCCTGCAAAATTACCGGCAGAGAGGTGCCAACACCAGCAGCCCTCTGCTGATGGGAATGGACTGGGAAGGGATGTCCAAATACCCCTCCTTTGGGAAGGTCTTGGGTGCAGAAAGTGGGGTTGTCTCTGGGCTGAGGTCTGGAAAGGCAAGCTGTCCCCTCAGAGAGTGGGAGAAGGGGGAAGATACAAGGCAGGACGGGTGCCATTTGTGTGCCACTGGAAGGGACATATTCTGTCTAGTAGGTGAGAGTGACAGGAAGGTCAGTGAAATAATCACCTCCAACCGTCCACCCCAATCAAGGAGAAACTCGAGGTGCTGTGAATCTGTCCCTGAAGACCTCTGCTAGCCCAGGAGTGGGAGGATGCTTCAGGGCATGACGGGTAACGGCCCAGGAGAAGAGTCATAGAGATGAGATGAAAAATGTAGCTAAAAGGGAGGATGGCCTCACCAGAACAGTTTTACTCTACTGAGGTTTCCCTACTTGCCTTCTAAAACTATTTTAAACATACGTATACTCACAACTGGAAAAAACCAAAGGGCAGGAGTGAGTGTCCATTGGGAAATTCTGCAGCTGGAGCAGACATTCAGCCTCGATCGTCAGCCTGAGAGAGGAAGAGAGAGAGAGGGGGAGACGGTTTGTGTTGGTGACGGTGGTTCGACTCCAGCACCACAATGTGACAGAGGGATTCTCGCTTCCTTGAGAGAGAAACACTAATTTGTTGAAGATCAGTCTGTTTGCAGGAACACTTCAGAACAGCCGCAAAACAAAACATATGTTTGGATACGAAAAACTGTCTAATTTTCACATTCAAAAAGCTTTTTTTGTTTAGTGAGCCTTTCAGATTCATTTATGGGAGTGAGAATTCATGGGAACAAAAGCCAAATGTTTATTATCAGAATGAAATAGCTGGACTGACCAACATAAACTTCTAAAGGGTTTTGGTTTAGGAAACCATTTGTAGTTTTGACTATTTTTCTAGGTATGATATGGAAAAACAGGTGGTTTTTTTGGAAGCTTTCATCCTAGGAAAAGGAAGCCCATTCTGCAACCAGTACTACATCTGTACTCCCAGCAGCACTGGGAGACATCTCCACTACTCTCCCAGGGCACCTGGAAACATCCTCTACTTGGACCAGCTCCTTGTTCCCTCACCGCAGCAGCCAGATACAGTGCCTGCTGGATGTACCTGAGCGTGTAGAGCACTTTTCCGTCATTCCAGATGCGGAGGAGCTGATTAGGAGTGGTTATCCAATGGGAATCAGCCCGCTTGGAGTTCCTAAAAAAGGTATCTGGGATCCAGATGCGGCTCACCATGTTGGTGTTCAGCGTGAGGGCCTTCAAGGTGCTGTTGAAACGCAGACGCCGGTCATACCAGGTCTGAGCAAAGAAGATATCAATCGTGTATTCCTGGGAAAGAGAAGGAAGAACATGTCTTTCTGAGAGGGATTCAGGCAAAGCGGAGCCCTGTCCTCTGGTCTGCAGGCCACTGTTTTGGAGTCACAGCCAGAAACATTCACTTTTTAAGTCTGGGAGCAAGCGTTGGTGACACCTTTCCAGGCTCAGCTTTAGCTTGGGGTCAGGACATCCACGGCCCACTTAGAAAGACTCAAAGACAGTATGTTGATGGTCTGAGCCATGGCATGTTTGGCCTGACCCCTGCCTGGAAAGCCAAGACCATACGAACAAGGGCTTGGGCTTCCTCTGAACAGACAACTGAAGCCAAATGCTCCTTCTAAGCACAGGCGCAAAGGGGCAGTGTGGACGTTGGCTGAACCCAGCCCTATGTTCAGCTTCAATTTTCAGACACAGGCAATGAAAGCTGCTCACCAGCTTACCGGAGAAGGCAAGCAGACAGCTCTTTCTGTTATTTATTAGGATACAGCCCAGCAATGCTCCATACCCCTAATTTGTACATATAGCAATAGTAGCGTGCACAAACCTAGTGAGAATCCATCCCTTGCTGCAGAACTTACACTGTAAATGATTTTTATGAAAAACCAGGGCACTCTGGGTTCCTGGGGAGATACCCCTTTCTGAAGATTGGAAAAGGAAGCTGGGGCAGGGGCTGCTGTGGGCCCAGCTCTTAGTGCAACCACTTTAAAACCTTGGGTCTTTTCATACAGAAAACAGTTTCCACCATAATGAGGACCTTTGGTTTTGGTGAGAGACAGGGTGTCCTAGCTCACCCATAACTAGCGTTTCTGCAGGCAGCTCCTGCCTGGATTGGACTGGCAGTAGTCCACATCATTAGCCCACTGTTCTGCTGCTTGCTGCTGCAAGGCAATTTTCTCCTTACCTTCTTTTTCAGCCTGAGAAGGTGCTAATTAGTGTCATGCAGGAGCATGTCTGGCACTCAGTGGCTGTCTGAACCAGACCCCCAAATCCAGTTCCACCAGCCCATCCGAAAGGCTGTCACCTGCCCCTGACAGCTCCTCTTTGACTTGCGCTTTGCTCCCTTTCACTCCTGTTAAACCCCCACAACCACGGCGGCATTGTTGCCCTCTCTCCCGTGGGCAGAGATGAACGATGTCTGACTTCCCCATCTCTCCCTCTCATTCTCCTCCTCCCTCTATTGATTTATCTCGGTGGAATTTTTATGACTGCAGCACATCCTCCCTCCACTGCCCTCGCTGCTGGTTCAGAGCCGGCTCCCTCAACCCGTGCCATTAAAACAGACACGGCGCGCTCAGCGTGCTCCCTTGGACAGCATGTCCTGCCTGGGGGAGGCCGAGCAGGGCAGCACACGACTCCCCGCTTCATTTTCCTCGCCCTCGCTCCACTGTCAGCCAACCGGAGATGAGTGATTGGTACCAAAAACGTCCCTTGCATAGGAATGAGATCGTGAGAAAAGAGCATTTGCCATCAGGCAGTCGAGACACACTCTGGGCTGATCTTTCACCCTGGTTAGACAGAGGGATGAGCAGAGGTGATGGGGATGAGGTCCTAACATATCTCTAAACGGGGACAGACGTGATGGCTTTGCCTCTGCAGTTCATTCAAAACAGACATGAGGAGACAGAGCTAGAATAGCAGCAGCCCTCACAGCCAAGCACGGCCACTGCCCCAAAATAGGAGGTGGGGAGAGCCCATTCCAGCATCTGAATGCTCTGGATTGCACTGGGTGCTTCTTGGACATAGGGTATGTGGTGATGCAGGCATGGATCAGGTTGGGAAACAGGGAAATAGAGCCCACGGGCGGGCAAAGAACCATCAGCACAGCAGGGACAATATGGGGTAATGGCAGTCCAAGAAAACAACATGTATGAGGAGGGCTGACTTCATTCTACCATCTTATTTTCCTTGCCAGCTGTTGGGGCCACAATAACGCAGCATTTGAGATATTATCCCCTACCCCTGAAGACTCTGAGCCAGTATGGGCTTACATTGCTCCTCCTCAGCAATCTCTCTGGTGCACGAGAAAGCAGCCAAAAATGCAATGATAAGTCCACGTGAGATGCCCCTGTTAGTTTCTAACTCCTAACTGCAGTAATTTGTGAGCTCTCACTTCTGGGCTGGCTGCTGAGGTCAGACACCCTGCTGTGAAGTTCAGCATTCAGGTCTGGGATAACCAGTGTTAGCGTGCTGGGAGAGTGGAGGGTCAGCTATCCCAGGGGGTCAGTATTTGTTGCCAAGCCCAGAATTTTCAGAAGAGATCAGCATTAAAGAGCTCCTCTTGTGCCACTGATAGCCAGCCTTGGCAAAAGGTGTAGCGCACAAGTCACGCAGCTCTTCTGAAAACCCTGGGCTGTCATTGTCACCGTCCGGTGGTTTGATCTAATTTCAGCGGCTATTATAAGCACAGCTATTCAAAAGGAAGATATTACTAGCTGAGCTGGGTCCCTTGCCTCTAGGCGGGACACCCATGGGGAAATGTTGGCGTTTACAAATATATTTTCATTCAGAATTATCTGAGGCAAGATTTACACAAAAATGATCTGGCCTTTGGGAGCACTTTTACCTTTCCAGTTCTCTCTCCCCTGTACTGGGGGGGAGTGAGCAAGTGGCTGTGTGGTGCCCAGTGGCCAGCTGGGGTTAAACCACGACAATTCCCAAAGGCTTGAGCCTTCCCATCACGTGTGGTTTGCAATGATGGAGAGGAACCCTGCATGACTGCGGCTCTGCACCGAGCAGCTGTGGGACAGAGCTCGGACCTTGCGCGGAGGATTAATCAGATCCTGCTTAGCCGTAGGCACCCCACCAAGGCCATTAAAATAGTAGGTGTTTGACCATGGGTTCCCTACAGTCCTTGGAGAGCGGAAGACACTTCTGGGGAGAGATTCCAGTATGAAGCAGTACAAGTTGTCTCCTGGAAATGCCTCACACTCTTACTGACCTTGGAAGAGTCCAGGCTGAATAGCCAAAGTTTGGCAGGATGAGCTCAGCCCCTAAATCTTAAGGCAGTGCTGCTTCCTGAACTCCTGCACCCCTGTAGTTTCTCTCTGCCCCTGATACATTTTCAAGCATCAGAAAGAGAATTCTCAATACCTCAATCTCCCCATGTGGAAAAAGGTTATTGTAAAATACGCCTCCAACATTACTGGACCATCTGCTATGCGGCACATGGAGGTTGTTAACTTCTCCGTAAAAGCACGGGCTTTTTTAGTGTTTTCAACAGAAGGAGCTAGTGAAATAAGAGGAATCGCTCTAAGAGTTAGGTCGTGCCATTTGGATCACACGTGGGATAGCATACACATGTTGGTGTGCGTGCAGCGTTACATCGAACTTCAGTCATAAAATAATAACCCACACTGCCCGTAAGGCAAACGCTGAAGAGGGCCTGCCCTAAATACTATCACGTGAGTTTACCCAATGCTGAGGAACAGCCTGCAGCATCACCACCGCTAGCTGCGTGGGCTCGGGTCCCACTCAGGCTCTCAGCGTGTCCCTGACGGCCCCCGGTCACCGTCATCACCTGGCACTGCCGCACATCACCGGGCAGCCCTCCTTTTCCTCAGGTGGGCAGCACCGATGCTGGTGGAAACCCAGTTGCAGAAAATGGTACCATCTGAAAACATTTAGTGGGAAAAAAGCCCTGTCCTGTAAAAAAAGAATTTGTGGGAAATAAGGGGATGTGGAGTTGACAAGAATATTTCATCTTAGAAAAAAAGATAAAACAACAACAAAAAGGTTTTACTGCACTCCCAAACCCTTTCATTTTTAAAAACATAGTTTAAGTGAAAAGTTATGGGATTTCCATGTTAAAAATAATTCCAAAGAACAGCCTGAAATTTTGAATCCCAAACTAAATAAATAGTTTCAGCCTGTCCCCAGCACAAGAGAGCTGGGAGCTGGCCACTGGCTACCAGTGTTCTGGTAGCACTGTGTGCTACCCTGGCTCATCCCAGCCCTCTGTCCTAGCCTTTCTGGCCCTGGAGCACCTCCCTGCTCCTCATCCCGATGTCCTGATACGGCCAAGACATCCCGCCTGGCCCCAGTTAGCCTCTCCCTGTGCCTCCTCTCTCACCCCTGTGTGTATGTGCGCACACAGAGGGAATCAGCCCTCATTTCCAGTTGGATTTGGCCCCAGGAACTCTACTCTAGGCCAAGTTCCACCCTGGGCTCAGAGCAGCCACGAGTTAGGGCCACCCAATTTCAGACTAACAGCTTCGACTCACAGGGATAGCATGACACAACTTGAAATTAGCAGTTTGTGTTTTCAGGTTACACCAAATCAACACAGCCAGAAGGTCCTTCTCAAACGGCTCAAAGCACGTCTGTGTGTGCAGCCCAGCCATGCCCTTTACAAGGCTGCAAGCAGTGGGATACAGAGGAGTTGGTATCCCCTGCATCCATCTCTGAGCTGCTGTCTCTGTGTTCTTTGAGAGCTCAGCTTTCTGGCAAATGCCAGAGAGAGAAGCAAAGCCATGAAATGAAGATGTCTTAGATATCTTCCTAAATTAGGATAAAATTAAGGATTTAAAGGTGGTTTTGCAACTTTGCTTGTATTCAACAGCAGCAAGACCACGTCCAGATAGAGGGGACAGACCTGGAAACAGCTTCCTCCATTTTCCTCTGCTGGAGAGATAGCTAGGAAAAATCCTGAATAGTGGGGCTGAGAGATTAATATCCTAGCCAGTCTCATCCTAGCTTTTATTGTTCTGGTATTTGCCTTTATTCATAGAGCCCCATTCCCTCTGCACTCCAAGCAAATCCCTCACTGCAGTACAATAAAGCAGGCTGCTTTCCTGGGAAGCATGGCCAGCATTTCAGGTGGGCTGACGTGAATCTGATGGGTCCATGCTGTCAATCACAGAGCTAAGCAAAGCAAGTATTACAGGCAAACTCTTTGGGGTGCTGCAATTCAGGAAAATCTCAGGAATCACTGGAGGGGACCCAGGCATGGGGTGTGTTTCTTTCCAGGGCTGGCAGGGCGCTCTGTGCAGCTTGAGGCAAGCCAGGCATCCTCT